TATAGACTCATTTTCATGTCAATCAATGAGTGCACTCATGTGACCATCCACGCGCGTACATTTAGATATATCAATATTAAAAGGTCCTCAGAACAGGTATGTGCACTTATAACATATCGATACACGAATGAACGGTTTTAGAATAAAGAAAGCAATAGCGGCCAGATCGTATGTTGCTATTAACTTACTCCCACACTCCCACATGATCCATAGTAGAAAGGCATGGTGGTGTCATCTGGGCTGATACTACGTGGATTCTTACAATTCCACCAACACCAAGCAATGACAGACAAGTCACACAAACAGAAATCTAGCCAACTAACTGAACCCCGACTGATCTCATACTGTCCTCAACATGAACATATAATAGTTTATGATACGCTACAACTGGAAACTCTGTCAAACTCAACAGTCAAAAGATCAATGTAAATACTACACAGCTCAACGTACACTCATGGTACTGCACACAACTCAACATATACTCATGATACTACACACAACTCAACATACACTCATGATACTATACACAACTCAACACACACTAATGGTACTAAACACAACCCAACATACATTCATGATACTATACACAACTCAACATACACTCATGATACTACACACAACTCAACACACACTAATGGCATACACACAACTCAACATACTTTAATGGTACTACACACAACTCAACATATACTCATGATACTATACACAACTCAACACACACTAACTCATGATACTATACACAACTCAACACACACTAATGGTACTATACACAACTCAACATACACTCATGATACTATACACAACTCAACACACACTAACTCATGATACTATACACAACTCAACACACACTAATGGTACTATACACAACTCAACATACACTCATGATACTATACACAACTCAACATACACTCATGGCACTACACACAACTCAACACACACTAATGGCATACACACAACTCAACATACACTCATGATACTATACACAACTCAACACACACCAATGGTACTATACACAACTCAACATACACGAATGGTACTATACACAACTCAACATACATTCATGATACTATACACAACTCAACATACACTCATGATACTACACACAACTCAACATACACTCATGATACTACACACAACTCAACACACACACGGTACTACATACAGCTCAACATACACTCATAGCACTCTGATTGACCATATCGACGAATGAGAGGATGACCTCAAAGTCGCCGTCCATGAAGTCATTGTAGACCTTTTTGAGCACCGACGACAGAATCTCATCCTGAGAATTGCGTCGAATACAGAGAGAAGAAGGACAAGGTGAGTGTACAGGCGTAGCACATGAAGGCGAACCAATACGTGAACAATAGTATAGTACGGAATAGCGGGTATCACAGCAAAGTAAAGGTACACACAGCAATATGCGTGCTGTATATTATGTGTCGTATATTTTTCACAGGAAAGTAAAGGTGAATACAATAATTTGCGCGTTGCATATTATGTGTCGTATATTATTGTATATTATGTGTCGTATACTATTCACAGGAAAGTAAAGGTAGATACAGCACTATGCGCGTTGTCTATTATGTGTCGTATAATATGATGAACTGGACAGGTCCGTGTGTGACACACCCTACATTCGCCACTGCACGTGGTAATATTTAAACGTCTAAAGTATTCGGTTGAGCGAGGACAAGAAGAAGATTCGCGTGAGATGGTAGTGACATATACACACGGTCGGGGGTGGTGCTCCACGGTGTGTGCACGTAGTGTGGGCGAGATATCGCACAGGCATATGCACATTGTATGACTTCCTACCGTACTCGATAAACCTACCGGATCTACGTTCTTCACACCCGCGCCACCCAAATCGTAGTATTGGCGTTGGGTAGGATCTTTCAGAGTCTCGTGCGCAGTGGCTAGGACTGAAGACATAAGAAGTAAGGATAGGCAGTGAGTGGGTTGTATCAGGCAGAATCAATCTTGCGACACAGTATGACAGGTAAAGTTCGGAAAGCCGTAGATAAATGGATGAAAACTGCTATGAAAGGCTAAATATCTACGAAAATGTCAACACCTACAAATACAAAAACGCACAAACACACGCACATACACATTTATGAATATATATAAATATATATATATATGTATATATATATATATATATTTATATATATTTATATACAAATACATATATATATTTATATATGTCTATACATTTACATT